TTATTTTACACAAAAATTTTAACAAGGACCTTTTTTAACAAAACTACAAAAATTTTCCAACAGTGAACGTTCCTTCCGTGTTGCATCCAGCGTACGAGCATCGCGAAAAATGCGACGAAGGTTGCTGCACCTAGGTAAGACGCGCGAGGAGGTGTAGGTACAAACGAACGCTCGTTGTCGTGGAAATTTATCATCGGCTTCCACGAGACGTGGAACGGGCGAGTGCTCGCGCATTAAGTGCGCACTGCGCGGCTCGCGGGAGGGTTGCGCGAGCGTGTGGCATGAGGGGGGGGGGGGCCCGGGGAGAAGAAAATAGAGTCACGGCGCGTTTCCCCGTGGTACGACGTGTTCTTGCGCGACCGAAGAGGGCGGCCAGGGCCGATTAATCACGGTCGCATTTTGCGGTTTTGTCGCGCGTCACGACCCACGTGCGTTCCGCGGGCACCATTGTTCCGCGGCCTAATCATTCCGGGAACGGTGTCGGACAGTCGTACGCCGTGGGAGAGTTCCCGTCGTATACGTAAAACGTACCTATACCCGCGCGCGCGCGTATCCTCGTATGTGCATTTTGTGAGAGTCCATCCTTCGCGCGCTCTGGCTGAGTGCGGTCTCTCGGGTCCGGTTCGCTTAAGAATTATAACTTCAACTTGATATATCTGTTTTTTTCCCGTCTACATTGGGTAGAATGATAAGCAAAGGATAATGAATTACTAGATTAGACTTAATTAACTCGGATCTTAATTGGTGCGACTTTAAAAGTATCACGCGATCCCATTTTAATTTAAATGCAATAACTCCAATGTAAAATAAATACGGAATAAATAAACTATGGAATATCTCTTAAAAAGATAGATAAAATAATTTTCATATATCAACTCCCCCCTCTATGTAATTATTCGCTATTTTTCCAACGCCTCCAGCATGTGTTTAATCAATCAAAATATAAAATTATATATTATTTCATTTTGTCCACGGACTCCGATAGTCGACGGTAAAACCAAAAGATTGAAACCGCATTCTCACACCGTTCCTGATGATCCAATGTTTTCATCAGCGCGTAATAACCGGTGTACCGCGTTTTTTTCCCAAAATTGAATTACTGGGAAGCCTCTCTCTCTCTCTCTCAGAGAGAGAGAGAGAAAGAGAGAGAGAGAGAGAAGGAGGGGGAGTCTGCGTCTTCTCCGGTCTCGGGGAGACGAGGATCAGAAATACGGGAAGGTGGGGACGAAAGGAGGGATCAGGTGAGGGCAAGGTGGAGATTCTAAAAATGGCGGTTCGTGGACCGACGCGACGGCACACACGGTAAGTCCAGGGCCAATTTCGAAGGGCCATTTTTCCCCCGAAGGGGAACGTCGACGGCAGCCGAAAATTACCCCGCTCGGGACCACCCAGTCGTCCCGCGGCAGACCAATCTCCTGGCCATGGGCTAATCGAGTCCAGACAGCAGTCCCCCTTGGTGGGGCTAATTGCGCCTCACCACTTTCGTACCTCCGAGAGGTCGACCTCTCTATTAAGAGACTTTTACCCGGACGCGCTCGCACGCCGCGCCGCGCCGTGCCGCGTCACGTATTAAATTAGAGGGTGTAAGCTCGCCTCTCTAAGAGTCTTTTCTTTAAGGAGGGTTTTTTTTCTGGAGGAGGCGGGGAGGGTAGCTTGTGTGGGAATGCATGGAACTGTTGGTGGTGAATCGCCGTTGATCAAGTAATCTCGGACGTTCGTCACGTTATGCAGGAGAGACGTTAAATATCCCAAGTTAGATTGCGATTTAAAGAATACTGCAAGCCACTATTTATTGTTTATAATTAATAATTATCACTCTTTGATTATTTTTTGTTTATAACATATATCTCTCATGATAAATATTTTAATAGAAAAAGCCTTATTTAATGTTCTATACAAACATCGCAAAACGATATTAACCATTATTTGTTATACTTGTGCATATGTGTGTGTGTGATATTTAACGTTTGTTAATTTATCTCAATATTAATGGCAAAACTAAATTTTCTTCACAACTATACATTTATAAAAATTAAAAAATATACAATATCGATAAAAAGTATTGCATTGTCTCCAAAACTATAGAAAACACAAAGTATAAATTATTCAGTTCTTCAGTACTAAAATAACACTTAATAATATTTATATGCGTTTCTCTTCATTAAAATAACGATTTCCCTGTTTCCATAAGTGATGCACCACTTTTAACCGATACTATAAAGATGCAAGAAAAAATCCATTAGTTTTTAAAAATTTTAAATTAAAAAAACTGTCGCGCCAGCAGACTAAAAAATGTGAAAAAGAAAAAAATAAAACAAGGCAGGGAAATTTTTTCAGTTTATGGCTTCCGCTATCGCCGAGAGAAGCGATGAATGCACGCGATATGGCGCGAGCCTTCGGCAACCTTTATGGTTATGCGAAATTCCTCTTGATGGTGGCCGTAAAACTATTTTACAAAAAATGGCAGTAGTCCTTTTTACTACCCGTGTGACTGTCGTGTATAAACCTGAATTACAGGTAAAAGCCCGTGTTCTACACGGCGCCTTGATATACGAGGCCTCCCAATTCTCGGTGTTTCCTTAATTTATCCCTATTATCACGTCCCCAGGTACGAAGGAAAAAAAAATTCTTCGTCGTCTGAGGGAACGTGTCAAACATCTTTTGAGATTAATCTTTTAGCACTTTTTTTATTCTAAGTTTGACAAAAGATTTTGAAGTATCCTATTCAAATAATAGTTATCATTAGATTAAGAAGGAAAGAAGGGAAAGCAAATTAAGCGAATATCTAACATCAACAATGGACTGAAGACTGTTGACGTGCTCAATCTCAAAACTCTCTCTAAAGACAACAATGAAACTAATGTGCAAACAGACTAAATTTCATGACGTAGATCCTCGCATGAACACTTTATAACTTTTAAAAATTGCCTTTTACACATTTAAATTTAATACTTAACAAATAAAAAATTTTGAAATGTGTAATAATATATCTAAAATATCTTAAATAGAAATATATAGCTTACCTGTAATCTTTGTAACGTAAAGGAGATAATTCATTTGAAGTAAAGTTGGATTGAATAAACTGAAATTTAAAACAATTGTTTATATATTTTTTCCTTCTATATATTTTCATTCTAAGATAAATCGTCACTGCAAATAAATTGTGATAAACCTTAATAATAACAAACGAGATTCATCCGTGAGTGTAACTTTATCCATATCTAAAACTCATATGCGCGAAAATGCAAACTCTAATAGATCAGTCTTATATACATAAATGAGAAAAATGAGCTCTGCAACGAGGTACCTGTAACTATGGCTCGAGAATCAATAAGCGTCTATCCGAAAAAAAAAACGGGAGAATGTGTATATCTCGTTCATCGGTAGACGCGTGTACGTTGATCAATCGAATCGTAACGTATGGCACAAAGCTTATGTCACGCGAAGGAAAAGCAGTGTAATTAGATATCGCGTAAAACAAAAGCAAAGTCCCGAGCTTTTTCCTCGGACATAATTAACAAATCAACAAAATTAACAAAAATAGTTTGCATAAAAATTCAATTCAATATCGTAACGTTGAAATATTTCCGGTGTCAATAACGTCGAATTCGTCACTTGGGACTACGCTCGAAGTCGCGGCGATTCAAGCAGAAAAGCGATTCACCGGGCATGCTATGCAGATACCGGCGCGTTACGATACTCGGACGAATATGCTGTACGTAAATTCATTACGGTATCTTATGTATATCATAATATATATTACGAGCATTGGAGATACGTGGAAAGCCCGAAACATGATCGCCTCGCGCAGCGTTGGCGATGCTATAATAACAACTATACGTATAGTCGATTCTACATAGCAGAAAGTCAACCAGACTTTGTCAGAGCGATATGTTTTATCGAAATATACCCAAAAAATTATATTATATACAAAACAGATTTACAATTTTCTCAACAATACTTATTGTTAATTGTTAAAATAATTTATACGACGTTTTATTAAGATTAGAAAAAACACTTTTATACAATATTAGCGTAAATCATTATTTGCATTATTACCAGCTTGGAGAAAGTAGCAGTCTCATATCGCGCATAACAAAAATCTAGAAGGCAACAAGAATCTAGAACCGGTCCTGATTGTAACAATAAAAATCTTTAACTATAATCTATATTGCCTGCGTTGATAATTGTCAAGCTCTGCGTTCAAATATAAATATACGCTTCTATATCCAAAACATCCAGCTTTGTAACGATCAGCAATTCGTAGGTACATAGTCAAAGATATGCGCTATTTCGTCGAAACGCGAGAAATCGCGTCTAGCTGCATTCGCGACTCGCGTCTGACTTGGCTCGCGCATGCACTACTGATGTCCTCAATCCCGTTTCTCGCGTTTATAAACGTCCACGCGCACGATAAATTTCTTCAGAAATCTTAAATACGTCCTTCTCGCTAGCCTAGATTTAATCCAGGCCTTTGTGGCCTCACGATAAATTGTAAATCACATATCGTCTGAATATCCGTCAATGAATATTCACGATCAAACCATATTCTAGAAATTTATATATTACAAATGCTATTACATAATAGGGCATTATCACGATCGTATCGAGAGAAAGGAACGGTTGGATCAACCGCCGATAGCGATGGCAACGATAGACGTCAAAAAGTTTTCAATCGCGCTAAACGTCAATATTGAACAACCTCAGAATATATACTAATATAAACTAATCGTTAACACTTTTCGGCAATTATTAGTAAAAAAAAAATAAAGATTGTATTTCAACACTGCGACTCTTTGCGAAACTGTGCAAAACTCTACGAAACTCTTCAATTACAATCTTCTGATCTATCGTTATGGCACACATCAATGGGACTTGCGCAAAAAATATAAATCATTTTTCTCGGCATTGTCTCTTCAGCCAACCTCTAATCCGCATGCAGGACAAGCTATCGCACCAACTCCAATTCTCAACACTGTCAGATATTGGGTACAAGTTTCTTTTTTTTTTTTTCTTACACCGACACTAGCGGCAAGTGTTGATGGTCTTCTTGACGAGACACGTGTTACACGTTACCTCGCAACACCACCGGAACCTACACTGACAATTGACCTTCTCCTTGACAATTCTGGTGTCGTAGCCTCTACCGCAGCAGAGGAGCTCACAGCCCTCAACCCCGGGACTCGTCGCGTTACACTGACGACCCGTCGTCCCTAAGGACCCGGTCTTCCGATTCGGCTTGCAGAAGTCCGGCGAGTCTTCGCTGTAGATCAGATCGAATCTACCGGGCGGCTTGATCGTGGGGCCTTCGGTAATGAAGCTGTGGCCGTCGTTGCTGGGAATGACTTTGGCCGCGCCGTCGAACGACTCCTTCAGACGGTTGCCGACTTCCCGAAACGGCGGCATCTTGCGCCAACAAGTGCGCACCGTGCAGGAACCGGAGAGCCCGTGACACTTGCACTCGGTCCTCATGAAGTTGCGCACGGCCTGAGGAGCGAATGCACATAGCGCGCCGGGTGGTAACGTATACTCCTATTTTGTTTTTTTAATAGGATCTAAACGACTTTAAAATTCTAATATACAGAAATGATATACAGAAGTTAAGCCCACATTTATAAAGACAAAAATTATAAAGACTCAATAATTAACAGAAATATCTGTTGCAGATGTTCTCGTTATAAAAAAAAATTCTATTGTCCAATGATGACATTAAAACATGTCCTCTAATTTTGTTAAAATAATGTTTGCTAGAATCTTGAAGATGGGATCAATGTTATTAAAAATAACGGAATTGGAAGTACTGACTTACTTTGCAAAGTCTTTCGAAGACGTCTTATAAATAAATGGAACATGGCTCTTCCATTATATTGGACAATTGTGCAAGATTGCTTTCGGTTATTATTATCAAACGTGATGAAAAAATGGCATTAACCAATTGAATGAAAACGCACGTGCACCAAAAAATAGAAATGAACAGAGAATAAATGTAAAAATAACTTACCAAACGACCAGCGTCGTTATTATGAAGCTTCACCAGAGTTTTAATGTCACTTCTTTTACGATACGGTGCATCCATGAATTCCCGTGATTTTTTAAAGCCGAAGTTTACGTTATCGCCGCACCCTCCCCATTCCCAGTCTCCTTCCGTCGGCAAACTCTTCTTCGCCTCGACCGTACGCGCAAATTTAGCCAGACGATTACCTGTGGAAGTCACCATTTTCTCCTATCTCCAAAATATAATCGCAAAGAAAGTTGATACAAGCAGCCAATTTTTAACGACGCTTACAAATATCTTAATCTATGCAGTTTTTAAAAACTTATAAAAATACTGTTACACTACTGTATCACAAAATAGAAATACCTCTTTTAATTTATATGAAAAAATAATAATTTAAGTTTTAATGGGCTTTTAAAAGCCTGATAAATTACTATAGATTCCGATGGGAAATTAATGGGAAATCGATATGCGGATTAAATCACAAAGAGAGAGACTAAGAGAGTAAGCTTTTACCCTTCGACGTCATCTTATCGCAGGAGCATTCCACGAGGTCACCCATAGTGCAGGCTCTGGTAACCGCATAAGTAACTCCAGCGGCGGTGATGGCGTTCACGAAACCCGTCTCCCGCGTATCTGTAGGCACATGGAGGGGAATCCGAGATCAATTAATGGACTATTACCGTGGTAGCGTGGCCCGAACGTAAATCACCGATCGCGAAACAAGAAAAGGCGCGTCTCGACGCGCATATATGCGCGGTAAGCGAGTGGTAATAAAAAAACTCGGCAAGAATCTTCCCGGTCGCATGGAGAGTCTCAAACGAAGGAGGATGCCGGGCAGATAACGTCGGCGAGGGTTAGGCGAGGAAAGTTGAAGAAGGTCGCGCGCAATCAGATCGCCCGAGAAACAAATCGGATTACGCGTCAGCCGGCGAATAAGACAATTTAGAACCTTCCTTACATATGTGCGTGCTGGACTCTTAAAATACATTAATTAATGATATCATTAGAAATACGGAACCTCTATCTAAGAATTGATTCAATAGAAGAATTTCGTGAGAATTATTTTGATAAAATTTATCGCTCTCTTCTGTACAATTTTTATAATATGTACTTGAGTTTTTATATGCACTATGTTAATAAAATTTATACACATATATATATTTGCAATAATATTTCTGATATAGTTGCTATTTATCTAATTAGTACATGTAGCATAGCACGTATAAGTAGATTACAGAATGGTGTATAATAATTATCTAAATTATTACTGAACGTATATTTCCTCTATCAATCTTTAATTCTAGAAACTTTTAGTCTCTCAACAAACATGCCTTATAGAGATCGTTACTTGAATGAATAATCTAGGTCAGTTAATTTGTAAAAGGCAGATCTGTAATTACGACAGTATTCAGTCGCCAACAAGCTATCTAGATCGAAAACCGCCTGTTCATACATTCGCCAGATCTCCGTGGATCGTTATCCGAGTGTCAAATATAGAATGGACGCGCGATAGAAAGTATAATTTGACATTAGACACAGTGAGCGTGCAGTAGTTACTTATATGGCGGAACGTGCATTACGTGCATAGAAGGCCGGTATACGTCAATTAGTCGAGGTAATGGTACGCAATTAACGCTTCTTTGGTTTTTTTAAGATATGAAGAAAAATCGCCATTCGCAGCCGCGAGCATTCGATAAACGTATTTCAATCGCATCGCGATTTCACCGGATTTCGAATAACTACGCAGACAGTTAAAGAAATCATTGACCTAGCTAAAATCGGGGTTGTTTAATCGTAATATTCTCTATTATACTACAATTGTTCAACTAGTATTTGACTATTATTTAATATTGCGCGATAAAAAAGTGCGACAGCAAATAATTTCCTTCGATATCTTTCCTAAGCAAAAGATCTATTTCAAATTTGTTAAAAAAATCTGTCTTTAAAATTAAAATTGGCGGTTCCAGGACGTCCTGTATACGACAAGCATATTCTAAGCTTCTTTCAATTTCACCTTGAATCCGCCACACAACTCTCGCCTAAAGATATCGAATTGCAAATTCTATCTGGGTAATTCCGTAAGATGTGGGTGGCGCCGATCACCAATGGACTGTACGAAAAGATCAAGCTCGCCAGTATGAAAGGGATGTCGTCAACGTCGAAGGTCTTGGGAGCAGACGCCCATCGGTGGGTCCCACAATTCGGGCTCACGCTTGTCTTGGCTGATGTACAACGCGGGGGAACCCGCGGGGACTCACGCCCGGTGCAATTCCTCCATGATGTGTGGGTGTGTATATGTGTATTCGGTTTCACCTGTCATGTCTCCACTCAATCATTAAGCGGACAATGCGCACGACGCGAAATTTCACCCCTTTTCAAAACGGAAGATCGCCACCGCCCGCCCCGGTCGACCATTGTCTCTATTAGCCTCCACGAGCATCCGGTTTTTGCAAAACCAGAATGCATTCTACCTTTCTATTTCCGCATTCTCTCCAAACGCATTTTACATTTCTTTAATTCTTAGAGAAATAATCTTGCAAATTATTCTAAATATTAATATTTTTTTAAGCGTTATATTGATTTATTTAGGAAATTCAGGTATTTGCAGATATCTATAGATATTTAATTAATTATTTATTAACATATATGTTATATTAAATAATATATGCATATCTTAATATGTGTGCGTTCAAAATTCAATTTATTTTATCTTTATAATTGAATGAGCGGATATATAAATTGCGTTAATTTTTTATATCCTAAACATAATGATATATTATATCATTCAGATCTCGTAATATTATATGCGATGTCTCCACATAATTTTATAATAACATTATAACGCAAATCATTAAGGCCCAAAAGACGAAGTAACTTTTAATTCGCGAATATATCATATCGGCATGTAATGCAAGCCTAAGGCAGAATCCGAAAGAAATCCGTCTCCTCGTTAAACTGACGATATCGCCATTCATTTTACCTTATTGCGAGATGCAATCCGATCGAGAAAACCGAGATCGTCCCGTGGATCTTCGCGTCGATATGATCTCCGCCGACACCGAACACGCCGGAATTAACTCATAACGTGGAATGCCCACCCAATTACGGATTCCAGCGAAAAGGGGGAAGAGCCGGAATCGGTAGCCATCGTGAATATCGAGCAGTGATGCATCGGCAATGCAGAATCGCGCCGCGATCGCATATCTCGTCCTTTTCAGAAACTTGATGCGCGCGATCTTCTGTCAATTATCCCGATATAAACAACGATGCCGATAATATCAATCGTTGTACCGCCACAGAATAACAATACATATTGTTATCCTCTTTACTATTTTATTTTCCCCTTTCATTTTTATTAACCTACGCGCTTCTACCGCATATCTCGTGAATTTATATTAATCTAATAAGGATCTGTCACATAATCTGTTAGAATCTCTAGATTTCCAAGTCGAACACTGAAAAAAATAAATACTTAGATCCAAGAAAATATTTTTCACATGGTAAATGGCTTATTTACTTAATATAATCACATATTTATTTAGAATTAGATATCTTTACTTAAATTAAGTAAAAATAATATACATAAATTAAGTGAAAATAATAATTTATTTTAATTAAGTAAAAATATCTAATTCTAAATAAATATGTGATCATATTAAGTAAATAAGCCATTGGTACTATGTGAAAAAATATTTTCTTGGATCTAAGTATTTTTTTTCAGTGAACGATACGCTATTTATTCCAATACTGTCAATCTAAATATAAAAAGAAAAAAACGGGAGAAGAGAGAAACTTAAACGAAGAGGAAGAAAGAACATTATATGTATCGAGGGTAGAAAGCCAGAGGGGAAAACGCGGAGGTGAGGCTCAAGGGGCCCGGGCGGAGGGCCCCACCGCTGCCAGGGAGGGGTTATACGCGTTAAGCCTGGTTCTCCGTGGTTCCCATGGATTCCAGGCGGGTATCTTCAGCGCGGATCGACAGCGCGGACGGAACAGGAGGACGCAGGCCGAGGAAAGAGAGGAGGCTGTGCCTGCCATCGCCCGCGTATCTTCTGATGCATCGCCTCACCTTTCAGTGCGTATTTAAACGATACGATAGTTTTATACGAGCGATCTGATACCGGAGACTTCGAGAGCGGGAGAGAGGGCCCCGCGGCTAGCTCGCTCGGCTCTCTCGGCTCCCGGCGCGGCGCGGTCGCGCTCGTCGTCGCTTCTTCGTTCACGAGAGCGGAGATCGATAGCTCGCTCCATCTCCGTTCCGGCTCCAACCTTCGCTCGAACCTCGGCGCATCGGCCCTTTAACACGACGACGGAAGCAGCGTGTCTCTTTCAAGGCTCGCGCGGCCGGATCGCTTACGAAAGCCCCGTAGTTCTTTTTTTTTCCTAGCCTCCTCCACTCGGAAGATCTCCAGGCACCGTTAAGATCGGTTCTTAATTTGAACGACTCAAGAAAGGAGAAAAATACTAGGGAAGTTTTCAAAATCGTGATTGACAGCTAAAATTATTTTCTTTAATATCAGGAAAATTATTTGAACTGATTATATTAAAATATCGCACGTTAAATACTTTAGACATCGGATTCATATTTCTGAATAACATATTAACAAAATTATATTTGTGTGAGGAAAAGAAGAGAGAGCTTTCGTAGCAGCACTTTTATCAATTGTTTTCAACAGTCACAATCTTAAAAAAAATTCTTTACTGTTATAACCAGTTTCATCTTTGCTGATATTGAATAATGTACATACGTAACTACATTTTATTTTCATAAATGATCTCACGTTGGTCAAATTTATATTAAATAAAAAATCTTTACGGAAATACACTAATGGTCAGACATATGGTCAAAGAAAGCCTTTCAATTTCACATTTTGCAATATTTCCCGTTACCGAGCGACAATCCATCTGAGTATTTTGATGGTCGCTTCAGTGCCCGGGGAATGCCTGAGGTGCAGAGGAACGGCGGATAATATAAATCACTTCGAATCAATTAGACACGTGGGACCGCGAGCCGATGATCTCGCGGTGCCGTGCCGCCAGCTGCACCTGTGGGCCCTTCGTCTCGGGTCGCCCGGACAGTTCAGCCAATTATCAGCATTCCGGGGCATTATCCTCAGAGCGGGACTTACGCCGTGTTTAATTGCAAGTGGTCGTCTTCCTTTTTTCTCAGCCCCTCTCGCGTCTTTTCTCCTCAGCTCCCCCTCGTAATATTCTCTTCTTCTCCCGTCCTCGTCATTCCGGATGAAGGAATAACTCAGCACTCAGCCGACAATAAAATGCAACCACGTGGCGGATCGTTTCATTTCCCGAATCCGGAAAATATTTTTCCGCGAATTTTCGTCGCTTTCTTAAGACGTACAGTCATCCCGAGCTCACTCGTATCAAGTTTCGTAAAAATAATAACATGATCAACGTCATAAAGTAATAATAGACGTCAAATACACAATTTCGGAATATAATTGTAAATTTATACTATATTTTGATGTTTTGTTTAATCAAAGAAAATTAAATGCTAGGAGTTTAATATAATATTTAGATTCGAAACACAAAATTAATTATCAATCAAAGACAAAGGAGCATCGAGCCGTAACAAGGTGTTGGTGTTCATATATTCTATACTTAAGTAAAGAATT